AGACACAATTTTTTTGTCCTGGCTTCTGTGCTTCAGTGGACTGAGTGCTGGCCTGTGAACCAAAGGGTTACCGATTCAATTCCCAGTCAGGGCACATGCCTGGGTCGTGGGCCAGGTCCCCAGGAGGGGGTGTGCAAGAGGCAACCACACATTGATGTTTTTCTTCCTCTCTTTCTCCCTCCACCTCTCTCTAAAAATAAATAAAATATTTTTTTTAAAGACTATTTTTTATAAATAAATTCTGGGGGTTTTAGGGTCCCTCCTCATATATGATATGTTACTGCAGTTGCTTAATATTTTTCCTCAAAAAATTAGATTTTTATTTACTAAGATTACACAGTAAATATTTAGGTGCAGTTCTCCCTCTCTCTCCATCTCTCTGCCCTGACTCTTCCCCAGGTGTGTTTATTCACCTTGCCTCTCTCTAAGCTCCAAGGGCCCTTCTTATGCCTTTATAACTTATTTCCTGAGCCCATTTCTTCAACAACTCACATCTTCTGCCTCTAAAAAAAACTCAATATTTAAAACTTTTTATTGAAATATAATATAATACATAAACATGCACATATCTTAAGTTTTTGGTTCAATGAATTTTCACAAACTGAACATACTCATGTAAGTAGCATCTACATTAAAAAAATTGAACACTATCAGCACAGCACCTGAAAAGCCCATCAAATAACAGTTTCCATCTAATTATGTCAGCAAATTCATGGTATGTATAATAGTAATAGTAGTAATGTGCTTTTTATGTTGATATATTTAAAATACATTTGTATACATCTATATATTTTATTGTAGAGGGGTTCATACTGAAGGTTTCTCCTGAATGTCCTTTATTGTTACACAGGGTACTTTAAAGACAGGTCAATAGAGATAAACAGAAGACCTATCACGTCATTCATGGTTAAAATTAAAGCCACTGATTACCCTGCACATTCCTAGAGTATTCCAGTTAGTGAGTGCTGAAAGCCAACCAGACAAGTCATGGAAACAGCTGAGGACTCTATGTGACAGGTAGTGACGAAGGATGATTCAGGCTCATGGGCTATTATTAGAGCAAGCAAAGGTTAGATGTGTAAACAGATTATTAAATAATCACTTTGGAAGAGGAAGGAGAAAAGGAAAAGTGAATCCAAGTCCCTGGCACCTTCTCTCTCCTAACTGTACTAGTCATAATCCAAATGCAGGGTCTGCCGGGATCCTTGTAGCTCTGGTTCTCAGACTCCACGTGTCTGCTGCTTGTGCTTAGGCAGATTCCTGTGGACTGAGTCAAGCTCCACGTGTCTATTGTCCCTTTGAGTGAACTCAGGGTCACTGCTCTTCAACTCTGATTGCTATTTTCTCAGGCTTTTGAAGAGTGTCAGAAATGACACCGTATTTTATTTTTTATTTCTCTTCCCTTCCTTCCTTCCTTCCTTCCTTCCTTCCTTCCTTCCTTCCTTCCTTCCTTCCTTCCTTCCTTCCTTCCTTCCCTCCTTCCCTCCTTCCTTCCCTCCTTCTCTTTCTTTCTCTCTTTCTTTCCTTTCTTTCTTTTCTTTCTTCTTTCTTTCTTTCTTTCTTTCTTTCTTTCTTTCTTTCTTTCTTTCTTTCTTTCTTTTCTTTCTTTCTCTCTTTCTCTCTTTCTCTCTTTCTTTCGTGGAAGGGCTGTGTGTGTTTGTGATTTCAGAAGTTCTTGCCGGTAGGAAGACACAGTGTTCCTGTCAGTGGAATGGGAGGAAGAGAGGGCAATGTGACAGTTGTGAGCGTCCGTGGTGTGGCCTGCAGAACCCTAGCTGCCAGTGGAGGGGGCGGAGCCCTCATGGCCCTCATCAGTACACATGTGGAGACGCATTACAGGTTCATTCAGCTATTTGTTCCATTCAACCTATGGTTACTAGTGGGCTTGGCCACTCACCAGGAAGCTAGAGGGATCTCCCCACGGGCAGGAAGACCTTAAGTTTTGGAGGGAGGTGGGAGGGCTGTGGTCCCAGCGTCTCCACTACCCCTGTGCTGGGGGGCAGGCAGTTGTGGTTCTGGGATCTCAGGTTCCTCTCCTGTAAGTGGGCACAGGTCCCCGCAGATGCTGATGTGGGACCTGTGCAGTGGTCGGTGCCCTGGGCTACCAAAGAATTCACAAAGAGAAGAAAGTGTGGAGAGGCAAGGTTTTATTCACTCTCCCAGAGAGGAGAGGGGCATGGTGTGAAGAGATACGCCAGCCAACACCGTATTTTATGATTTTGTTTGAGTGGTAGTTATCTTACATTTGAAGGCCCAAGCATGAAAGATAAGCGTCTGTCAGCAAAGTGGGATCAAAGCAGAAGCTAATACCACTCTCCAGTAGAAATAAAACCAACTATGTAACAACAAATTTAGAAAAAGAACTATTCTCTATGTGCCAAATTGTTACACACAAATTGGATTTTCATTTGACAGACCTCATCGACATTCAAAATATCTCAGTAAATTAGGGAAGTTGCCTACTGAATAAAATTTAATAGAATAATATTATATTGAATGAAACCAATGTTTAAAGTATAACTTTAAGAAGATAACTTCTTGTGTGACTTCTAGTAGCATTTTTTACTACTTTTTTAATTTAATATGCATAATGATGTAATTAATTAGTTACTATCATTATTGCCATTTTATAATGGAGGATACAGAGTGTCGAAGAGAGGACTTGCTCTCAGTTACACACCTAGAAGGGAATAAGGAGAGAGAACTCAGGTCTGTTTGTCTCCCCAGGTTGCTCTCCTAAATATTATTTTCTATAAAATGACCTCATATTCTTTGAGCTCAATTATTGTAGTCCTTGGCCCAGAATATGAATGGCAATGTGAAAATAGGTCAAAAACAAAAGTTGTAGGTTTACAACCCACTTGTCCCACCACTTTTAATAAGCATCTGTTATGTAGGCCCAAAGCAAAACACTTTCATGGATGTTCCTATTTAATTCTATATAGACCAGCTTCTGGATTAGGTTTAGAGAGGTTGAGAAACTGGCCCAAGGTCAAGCAAGCAAGAGGTGTGACGGGGGGCTTGAACCTGGTCTGCCAGTCTGACTCCAGACTGTACTATCTCTAAAAATGGATTTTTATGCATCAGAAAGTAGCACACTACCTTTTTTGCCTTTTTTAAAGTGTGACCATGATGAATCTTGGAGAGGCATGGTTCTCCACAGTGAAGCCTGCCCCTGTTGTTTGCAAGGACAGGACATGAACCCAAATAGAGGCCCGCATACCATGTGACTAAATATTTAAATATAAATCAAGCTCACACACAGTTAAACAAATCATGTCCAATCTATTCTTAGAAGATATACCTTTATGATAATCTGGAAGGCCAGGTTTCATCTCAGATTCTCTGTCTCCTTAGCATTAGAAGCCAGAGGGTTACTGCTGCATGGAGGCCAGCACTTGCCCTTCTCTACCCACTCAGTGAAAGGTCTTGGGCTGTGCTTGTGATCCTTGAGGCTCTAAGCTGTGTATCAACCACCAGGGCCCTGGGTGCACACCTGGCTGCACAATGTGCTCTTGGGAAAAGATACCCAAAGCTGAAGCTGGGACCAGCCTTCTAAATCAGCCTGGGGCCATTTGGATATAAAAATCTGGGGTCCTGGTACTTTGGAGCACGATCTAGGTAGGAGGAGGCAGGGAGTTCGTGGGCACGTCTCTGGCCCCAACTCTTCTCTAAGAGACTATAGCTGGAGGAGATCAGAGCTAAGCCCCCCATGCAAAGGACCCTTCCTGCTGGGGCTTATGGGGCAAAGATATTGCTGGTTTTCAAAAGCATTTTCAAAAAAGCATCCTTCAAAGAGCCAACATTTTGTTTTAGAAAGAATTCCAGTCTTTTAATCTTGTCTGAGTTTTAACACATTAAAGGTCACCTAGTGCATAAATCCCAGCTGTAATTCTTTCATTCTTTTCTTGCCTTGACAATTTTATACCAACTTATCCTATGCCAAAGCCCCATCAACCACACATCCCCCCAATAAAGACACCCCCAAAGAAAATCCAGCACCACTTCTCTGTCCTCCCATCCTCCCTTCCTCCTTTCCCTTCTCCCCTTCCTGCCTGCCTCCTTTTTTCTTTCTCATGGTCCCTTTTCACTCCCAGCTGTGTATTATGTCATCTCAATTAGCTCTTCTTAAGAGACATTTCTTCTTTCTTTTCTCATTCGGTTCCACTTATTCTCAGATTTTATATCACAGACGTTTTTAACCAAAAAGACAGGACCACTTGGAGGTGGAGGTGGGTGGGTGCATGTGTGTGTTTGGGGCAGATGTTCAAAGAAAGTAAGTGGCCAAAGCAAATTCCCTGAGGAGGGAGGTTGGGTGGGGCATAGAGCTGATATGGAAAGAAAGACCATTTGCCTTGGCTGGAACCTGAAAATGAGACTTGGGTAGACTTTAAAACAAATTGAGTATATTTTGTCTTTTCTTTGGGGAACACCTCTAATGTGGACACTGAAAATCTGACTTACAGAATTAAAATGTAAGGAAATCATTAAAAATGTATGAGGACTTTTGGGCTGTTTTTTTTACAGCTCTATTTGATTACTTGTCTACTGTGTGTTTTTGTATGCTTGTTTTCTTTTTAAAATAACATCAGAAAAATCATTTTTTAAAAGCCAGATGTACCCTTAATTCTTCAGAATGCACACCTGGGTGCCCTGGTTGCTGTGGCTCAGTGGGCTGAGTGTCAGCCTGCAAACCGAAAGGTTGGCAGTTTGATTCCCAGACAAGGCACATTCCTGGGTTGCAGGCCAGGTCCCCAGTGAGGATGTAGGAGAGACAACCAATTGATGTACCTCTCACACATCAATGTTTCTCTCTCTTTCTCCATCCCTTCCCTACTCTCTAAAAATGAATAAATGAAAGGCTGTATAAAAAAGACACCTGGGAAACCCAAAGAACATATTGCTAACTATATAACATCAAGGAGAGAGACCACATTTATATAACTTTCATTGTAGTATATTGTTATAGTTAGTCTATTTTATTGTTGCTCATTGTTGCTAATTTCTTACTGTGCATAATTTATAAATTGAACTTTATCATAGGTATGTAAGTATAGGAAAAACATAGTACATATCAGAGTTCGGTAGTATCTGTGGTTTCAGGCATCCACTGGGGGTCTCAGGACATTTCCCCTGAACATAAGCTGAGACTACTGTACAGTGGCTTAAATAATTTGTTTTATTCTCACTCACATAAGAGTTCCAGGTTTAGGGGGAGAGAGGAAGGACTCAGCTTCAGTCTTCATTAAAGTCCTTAGACTTATGGTGGTTCCAACAACTGAATTCCAAGGTCACCCTGAGTGTGGCCCTCCCAGTCAGTCAGAAGGGCAAAGAGCTTGGGCAGATCTGTGCATGGCAGCTGTAGGGCAAATGTCACTCCAGCCCCATTCTACCAGTGAAAACTTAGTCACATGGCCCGAGTTAACTGTAGGAAAGGCTGCTGAATGCCAGCCTAGGAAAAAGGGGAGAAGAGGTTTGGTCAGTGTGTGTCTCTACAGCCATGTCATCACCTGGCCTTCTACGCCATTCATCTATGTGCTGCAGAGCAATGGATTTTAAAGGGTTCTCCGGGGCCAGGAACCTATCGAAAATTACCCATTCTTTCTTCCAATAATTTATATGTGAATGCTGTACATCTTTGCAGAGCTTCATTTTAAAATAAAGATGAATTCTATTTTAGTAAACTATAAATTACTGAAATTTAATATTTGTTAGTGTAACATAGTAGTTTTACTGGGTCAAAACTACTGGGGTATGAATCCACACTCTGCCACTCACTAACCACATGACTTTTGACCTCAGTTTACTCATCCCGAAATTGGCTACAATAATAAAATTTTCTTTCACAAAGCTGATACCAATCAAAGAAGAAAATGTGTAAAGAGTGTATAATTGGACAGCTTGGTCCATAGTAAACACTCAATAAATGATAGATTGGCTTCTACTATTATAAAAGAAAATTAACATATTGTTTGAATTTACCAAATAAAGTCTTCAGCTATCCACCAGAAACTTTGGCTCCTATGAAACACATGACAATGATGCAAAAGCCCCCACTGCAAATACTTACTTGCAGATAATTGGAATTTCCACAACTTTCCAGGTGATGAATTTATTGTCAAGCCATGGTCAGAATTTGGAGTAACTGTGATGTTTACTCTCTGATCATCTTTCTTCTAAATATAAAATACTTTAGTGTAGCTTCATCAGAATGAGTGCCGCTGTGGGCCGTTTGGGTAACTCTAGAGGAAGCAGTAATATACACTTGCATCAGATATTTTGGGCCATCATTTTGCAGTAAGTAAACCTTAAGACATGAATGAGTTGTAGTTCAAATATGAATTATCCTTATACTTCTTTCTAACACTTTCTGCAATTCTGAGAAACTTTTTTCTCTAAAAGTGAAACTAGGTGGGCTTTGAAATCTTTTGTGCCACTCAAGTGGATCACTCTTTTAAAACTCAAAAGAGTTTTAAAACACACAAAAAAAATAATATTTAAGACTACTTGGAAGCTTTTTTTGGAAAGTGATAATTTTTAAAAAATTATTAACAAATCTTAGAGAACAGAATGTAGAAACTATGCAGTAATTGTCTTCTAAACTTGATACTAGTCCTATCTTTCCAAACATTATATTTAATTCTGAGCTTTGTGTCTAGAAGGAGACAGAAACTTGGAGAGAGTTTAAAGGAAGCCATAAAAATGATTAAAGCTTTGGGAAACAAGGCCCATGAGGACAGGCTGAGGAGAATTTGCTTACTCTGCCTGCAGCACAGAGCTGGGGCCCAAACCTGAGGAAAGATTTCAACTAAAGGACAGCTATTGTCTCTCAGATACCACATAGAAAAAAACATTAAGTTAAAAGTGAAATAGCATGACAATAGAAAGAACAAAAAAAGGCCGAAAGAACATAGAAACCCCCCTTGCAAAAGATTATTACAAACAGGGTAAATTTCCAATTGCAGACTGATTTTTGGACTCCCTGATGATGAGAAATGTATATATTACATTGTTCTCTGGAAATTTCTTTCAGCCTTATGATGCTAGGATCATTTCTGTTTCTCTAAGTGAATAGTTAGGGTTCAGTTACAAATGGTGAGATGCCAACCTTAAACTTGTGTTTAAGATCTTAATCAGATCCTGATGATCTACAAGAATAATACACTTTTTGGTAAACCAGGAAGTGTGACTCAATAATTATAATAACAGAGCGCTTGCGCAGAGCCGCCCGGGCACAGGCTGGTGAGGCAACGGGGCAGGCACTGCAGCTGGTGGCCTGGGGCCTGGCGCGCGCTGGGCTATTATGCTCTTCTCCAGGGTGGCAATACGGAAGCTCCACGTGGGCAGGGTTGCCAAGCCACCGGTGGTCAGGCCAGAGTCTGGTCCACCACCTAGGACAGGTCCCGGGTCAGGGGGTGGAGCGGGGTAGCGTGATGGGTCCCTCCCCTGGTTCCCTGCAGCCAGTCCGTTTGGCCGAGGGTTTTCTCGCTGTGATGTGGCGCGACCACCACCCCAACCCCAGCTTCAGCCCCTCCTCTGCATAGAGAGTTGTCTTGTGCAAATACCTGGAACTGGGAAAGGGGTCATTTTGACCCATGTGGATGTTTTTCAGTTCTGGGTAAAGGGCGTAGACCTCTCAGTGGCGCTGCGGCCGTTGTTTCCCTCCCTCAGCTTCTCACTCCACGAACTGGATGTGGCATGTTCGGCCCATCCCAACTGCTGCGAGGAGGGGTGTGAGTGCCTAGGAATGACGCCTGGTGGGGGGGGGGTGGGGGAGATGGAGGCCTCTGTGCTGGGAGGGCGTGTAGGGATCCTGGCTCAGACCCTGGCCACGTGTCCTTATTGAGCATTTGAAAAGTGACTCCTGTGATCAGGAAACAATTTTTAATTTCATCTAATGTTAATTCAAATTTTAAAATTAAAGCAGTGCAGATGTTTAAGTGTTTATGTGCTGATAGTATTTGTGATAAGTTGGATTAAATAAAGTGAGTTACTAAAAGAAATTATTATAACAAGATGAATGAGGGTAAGAATACAGTTCTGTTGATGTTTAGATCAATTCATTAATTATTAGAATATTTAATCTTCCCAATTACAGCCTTGTTTCATTGGTAACTCTAGAAATGTGGGGAGAAATCATAGGACATTATATTCTATATATAGGCTTAATCGTTGAAGACATAACTCAAATGCACTTACATGACAGTTTTAATAATTAGGAAAATTGGTTAAGATCAGAATGTCATAAGCAAACATGTACCTTTATCTGTAGGGTTCTTTACCTGATATTTATTTTGACCACAGGCACTCTAGAGAGCTTTGTAGACTGACCAAAGTACAGATGATAAGCTGCATAAACATCCCCGCCAGAGTTAGGAACTAGGCATACTGAGCATTTGCTTGGTATTGGAAGGTTTAAAATGAAAGTTTGCAAGACATTTCCTGTCTTCCCCAAAACAAAACATACTAAAGAAACATATGTTGTACTGTTAGAAGGAACATGCTATTTATTACTAAAATAATTTTTTAAACCAAACTAGTTTAAAGTATTGACACACCAGAATTTTGGAAGAGCCACAATATCAAGCAGAGAAAATTTAAGATTTGATTTTAAACACTGATTTGACAGCAAAGTAAGTATATTTGACAAACTTGATGAACCTAAATCTAGTGATGAAGAAACAAGTAAAGAAATCTAGAGGAAGGAACTTTGTTCAAGATTCTTGGGGGGAAGTCATTTTTTTTAAGGCAGGAAAATTGCTGTAAGTTAAGAACTAAAGAATCACCAAGTGCAATGTACAAATTCGGATTGGAACACAGATTAGGAAAACAAAAAGCCTAGCCATGAGACATTTTTTGGAACGATTGAGAAAATCCAAATATGAATAGTATATATTACAAATATAAATAGTAATGAAAACATTTGTTTTTCTTAAATGTAATCATTATATTGTGATTGATTATATGCGTTTACTCTTTTATTCACTTTTGATTTATTTAATAATATTTATTGAGAATCTATTAGTTCAAGACACTGTACTTGGTGTTAGAAGATCACAGTGAAATAAATAGACATTGTTTTGCTCATTGGGTAACTTAATTTGTGCATGATTTCTGGCATGAAATTTTTTTTTTCATTTACAAACTCTTTTTAGTATGTTTTTAAATTTGTGCCAATAGCATAAACTCAGACTCTCAAAGAAACATTCTAAAAAATTTACCTACTACTAAATATTTTTCTATTAGTAGTAAATAAATTTTGAACAAATTTAGTAACAGGTGGTAACTTCAGTACACAAGGCACACGTGATATAGATAGATATTATAAATGCTTGCAATGTATTTTAAGAAGTCTTATTCTTGTTTGAGTCTCCCTCCCTCTCTTTTGCTCCATATGTGTATATGTGTGTATATGTATGAATGGCCATCTGAAGTCTTTTTTTTTGCTAAACATGGAACGAAGAACTTAACAAAACAAATAAAAAACATTGCATATATAAATTTGCATGTATATGTGCATAGATATTAGGTAGATAATGCAAATGTGACAAAATATTAAAAAGTGGTGGATTAAGTAAAGAATGTATGTGTTCACCCTGGCTGGTGTGGCTCAGTGGATTGAGCACTGGTCTGCAAACCAAAGGATTGCTGGTTCGATTCCCAGTCAGGGCACATGCCTGGGTTATTGGCCAGGTCTCCAGTAGGGGGAACATGACAGGCAACCACACACATGTTTCTCTTCCTCTCTTTCTCCCTCCCTTCCTCTCTGTCTAAAAATAAATAAATAAAATCTTTAAATAAAAATGTGTTCATTGCCCTATTCTTTCAACATTTTTGTAGTTTTTTAAAAATTATCAAACAAAAATGTTGAGGAGAGTCATGGAATTGCTTCAAAACAGTGCAGTTAACAAACATCAATATATAATTAAGAACCCATATAATATTTGAATTAACAAAAGAAGTAAACTTTTGGTGGTTATTACTTTCTTGTAGCCTCTCTCTCCATTTAATAATTGCAATTCAAGAAGTATTTGCTTTAGATACAAAAACTAAGCAACTAAGTGCTATAGAAATTAAATATAAAACAAGTACTAAATCATTTTATAATATGTCATCTTTACATTGTTTATCTTAAACTTATACAGAGCTGTAGGTCATGTATATCTCAATAAAATTAGAAGAAATAAGTGCTACAGAAATTAAAATGTATAGTCACTATGTTATATCACAATTCTCTTTATCCTCAAGTTATCAGAAATCCCAGCAGTGATTGCCTTTACAATAATTTCTAATAATGAAAAAAAGTGATAATGGTTAGAACATAATTATAAAAATGCTTTGAGTTGTATTCTTCAGTATGTCATACTATATATACCATAGACTGTAATTTTATTAATAACCTTAATGGTGCATGAACTTTATTTAAACAAATTGTGTACTGAGTTAATTCCATTAATCCAAACTGTCACAATTTTAAAACATTTTTGTGTTCTGATTTTTTGAAGTATAAACAATTCATGAAACTGCAGCAAATTCCATTCAATTTGCCAGTATTAGCCTTTTTATTGCCTTGGTCTATCACAATACTGCTCACTATATTCATTTATGATTTGCCAAATAAGTTGTGACTTGCATATTTGATATTTAGCTGAGGGAATCTTTCTGGAATGCTGCAGACACATTTTGCTTTGTTTATCAAATTATTTGCAATGTCTTGCAAAAAAAGGATTTGGCTGGATCATAAAGGGCTACACCCTGTAAATGCTTCAGAAACACAGGTTGGACAGAGCATTTTGTTTTCTGCTCAGTACTTGCCTGAGTCATCAGATGACTTGTTGGATCTTGAGAGCTTGCTTAAACAGAATGAGCTTGAGGCATAAATCAGAGCAACTATGGTGTTCTTATTTCATATTAGGCTCAATAAATGGTCTGCTGACTTTTTCCTACTAATATTCATGTTACAAGTTTTCTTCTGAAGCAATTATTATTAAAACAATGGTTGAATTCTCCTGTGTTATATAGGTATTAAACATTTTGGGATATGCAGCACATTCTTGCAAGAAGAGCTACAACATTACATAGTGACATGGGAATAGTATTCCATGTTTTGTGCAAGACAAGTTCAAAGGTCTCATATTAATAACCAAAGAGAAACCTAGTAGTTATGATGTAGTTATTTCTTTCTGGGTAAAATCAAGGTTTGTGCCATGGATACATTTGTAATTAATCATTTGTTACATAATATATATAATATATGATAATGAATGATAATATATGTAATAAATGATATGGATCATAACTGAGGAATAGCAATTTTTCACAGAACCATCTTCAGAAAGGTCCACCCTTGACCACATCAGGCTTTTTTTTAAAAAGTACATTTTATTGATTATGCTATTACAGTTGTCCCAATTTTTTCCCCTTTGCCTCCTCTGCCTGGTATCCTCCTTCCCTCCAGCAATCCCCCGCTTTAGTGCATGTCTGTGGGGTGGGTTGTGCGTATAAGTTCTTAGGTGTCTCCGTTTTCTATATAATTCTTAACATTCCCCTGATTATTTTGTACCTACCAATCATGCTTCTTAATCCCTATACTTTTCCCTTTGTTCTCCCCTTTCTCCCTCCCTGCTGGTAACCCTCTGTGTGATTTCCATTTCTGTGATTCTGTTCCTGTTCTAGTCGTTTGCTTAGTTTGTTTTTGTTTTTGTTTTTTTAGATTCAGTTATTGACAGTTGTAAGTTTATTATCATCTTACTGGTCATAGTTTTGATCTTTCTGTTAAGTAAGCCCTTTTAATATTTCATATAATAAGGACTTGGTGATGATGAACTTCTTAATCTTTAACTTATCTGGGATGCACTTTATTTGCCCTTCCATTCTAAATGATAGCTTTGCTGGATAGAGTAATCTTGAGTGTAGGTCCTTGCTTTTTTTTATCGCTTTGAATACTTCTTGCCAGTCCCTTCTAGCCTGCAAAGTTTCTTTTAAGAAATCAGCTGACAGTCTTATGGAAACTCCTTTGTAGATAACTCTTTCCTTGTCTCTTGTTGTTTTTAAGATTCTCTATCTTTAATCTTTGACATTTTAATTATGATGTGTCTTGGTGTGTTCCTCTTTGGGTCCAACTTCTGTGGAACTCTGTGTCCTTCCTGGATTTGTGTGTTTATTTCCTTCATAAATTAGGGATGTCTTCTTCCATTATTTTTCAAGGTAAGTTTTCAACTTCTTGCTTTTCCTCATCTCCCTCTAGCACCCCTATTATTTGGATGTTGGTACATTTAGAGATGTCCCAGAGTCTTATTCTTTCCTCATTTTTTGAATTCTTGTTTCTTCATTCTATAATGGTTTACTGTTTCTTTCTTACGTTCCAAATCATTGATTTGAACCCTGGTTTCCTTCCCTTCACTGTTGGTTCCCTGTGGATTTTTCTTTATTTCACTTAGTGTAGCCTTCATCTCTTCCCTTATGTGTTTGCCGTACTCAGTGAGATCTCTAAGCATCCTTATTACCAGTGTTTTGAATTCTGCATCTGATAGATTGGCTATCTCCATTTTGCTTAGTTCTTTTTCTGGAGTTTTGATCTCTTCTTTCATTTGGGCCATATTTCTTTGTCTCCTTAATTTAGCAGCCTCCCTGTGTTTGCTTCCGTATATTGGGTAGAGATGCTTTGACTGTTTTG